AATTGATGAATACTATTTGAAAATGGCCTCAAAGGTCAGATTACATTTATGATTTGCTTCTTTAATGCGCTATGTGCAATACAAGTAAGCTCAAATGCAGATTTCAGGAAATAAAGAAGATATGCTAAACATGATAAATGTTCATTTCTGCAAGTAACAATTGTCCCTTTGGTGCCATTCAGAACCATCTTACTGCTGGAGTAAAACAATGCAATTTGGCTGCAGGACATTAAAAGTTTCTTTGGGGTGGGGAGGTTTCTAAGCATTTTATCTTGGTGTGTACTGACCAGTACCGCCTCATGAGTCCTGTCCATGGCAAGGTGTCGCCATGTTGCAAGTGTTTTTGTGGCTTTAAGAGCTAAAACAACACATTGATAGCTGTTTCCCATATTTGGTATTTTGTCAATGACTTTTTGCTGCACTTCAACATTTCTTCTAATAATAGAAATTCAGACAAACCCCTGCCTTATACCTTAGTCAGACATGTTGAAATGAAGCAAGGGGGACCTTTACTTACATAAACGAATAAAAGGACATTCATCATTTCAATTTTGAAAGGAAATTAGTTTGCATTCTTTTTTATCCAACATGAAAGCTAAACTAGATTCTGCGCATCCTGCCCCTGAGGAAGATAAATGTTGCAAAAAGCTCCATACACTAACTGTTTGAGAGTGTTAACCTAAAAGAGCTAGGTTGAGAGTTATGCCGTTTCATGCCAAATTGAATGATTTATGAAAAAAATAGTTTGAAGACAGCTGTATCTAATTCATTCCGTCTCAATTCTTTCAAGATTAGGTGAGAGCGCTGCATTTCCTTTTGTCGACACAGATAACTAGAGGGGTTGTTTTTTTTAGACGGGAGAATTTTTTTCCATTCTTGCTGCTTCTTATTCAAACAACATATTGGTCTCTTTTTTCTCTATTAACATAAAATGTATGAACTTAATAAGCTGTTTGCTTGTCTATTTTTTCTCATCATTTGACACACTTGGATAAAAACTTTGATTAAAACTTCGGAAAACTTTTAAAACAACCAGTATCTACTGAACTGATAGGATATTTGCTCTGTAGCCCACTTTTGATCCCAGAGAGCTGCATGAAAAAACTAACCTATTTTGAAACCAGCATCATTCAGTAAAAGGGTTAGTTGCTGTGTAAGTGAAATACAGAGCTTTTGATTGTATGTCCTGCTGTGGAGTGGCTTTGATCAATATTAAAATGCTAGCTCTCAGTCTCATTATAAACACTCTTGCATGACGTTGGTTTAAAAAGTTGGATGTGGACTCTTCTGTTTGCCTTTTAACAAGAAAGTGTTCAGCTAATTTCATATAGTTCAAATAATTCTTAGAGTAAAAGAGCATCTCTGAATCACAACTTTTATCCAATTACGCATCTGCCAGTTTGTGTGCAGAGCCTCACAATCCCACCTGGACCTGAAGAAACATTTTAATAAGCCAGCATCCTAATTTATGTGTGAGACAGGAAACACAGAACTGGACATTGGCCTCACATTTCATTCTTAAAGAAATGTTACAGCTTAACTGACGCTACATTGGTGAGCATGGCCTACTGAAGGCAGCTCTTGGGAGTTATGGCTTTAAATGGTCCCAGCACCTACAACAACGCAATGGATTAATCTTTCTTTTTTAATTAATTTCATTATTAAGGCAAATGGTACTAGTAGTACACTTCATATACACACACACTGACAATGCACAAAAACAGGAAAGTCTATAAAGCTATACTGTACACAGCAGAGTGCATCATCCTAGTCATGCAAGTGCAAGCACGTTCAACACTTCTTGCAGCTTAAATAATCACTGAATTCATCAACATTTGATACATAGCCTTTCTTTTTTCTTGGCTCTTATATCTTTGGAATCATGTATGTGAAGCTGCAACACAATGTTCATATTTTGAGTGTGTTTATCTGCCAGCCAGGAGTCCATCAAGGTGTAAGATGAATATATAAAGTATATACAAGTAATTCACCTAAGTGGTAGGATCAGGCTGTGTGTGTTATAGCAGGAGTGTGGCAGTCTGCTGGTCTCGCCTCGGAATATTTGTATTCTCAGGGAAGTTATAATTGGTACATGGCTAGGGAAACTGCATTACATCCTAAAAATGTATGCTGACATAGACACTATTTTCATAATGTGTGTTTTTGCAAGTGATGCCTGCTGGTGTGAGATAAATCTGCATAATAAGCCATGGAGCAAATCCATATTTTTAATTATGTCCGTGTTAACACGGAATAAATTTGAAATGTAAAATGTTTCCTCACATGAACTTTTTCAACACTGCTTTTGCTTCATTTGGTCTATTTGACATTTCTGGACATTTTTCCATGCAGTGGGGAAGAAAAAAAAAAGACAAATACATCAGATGTATTTATTGTTACTTATAAAATCAAGAATTTTCCTTTTTGTATCTGAAAGACGGCAGTGTGTTCACATCACTCTGCAGGACATGCTGTTCTCTTTGATAAGGAAGAATTGTCAAGGATCACTGAATGTCTATTATTCTGTATTCTCCTTTTGATTCCCATCAATTCATGCTGTGATAACCTTTAGCTTTCATCATAGCTGTCAAATCTAGAATTCAGTTCAATTTAAATAAGAAAAGAAGAGCTCACTCAGATGTTTCTGGTTTTCTCACTACATGCTGCAAACATCCAAGGCTTTGCATTACAAAAGAAACTTGAGGATCCTCATAATGTTTCCTGTGGATTTCGGATTAGAGTATGCATTATCCATCTATCCTTTCATCCATCCATCCATCCATCCTATTTTGTTGTTATTTTGTTTGGAGGACTTTTTGAAAGGAGGACTGTTAGGCACTCTTCAGGCTAACATGAGGAGGCAATTTTGGAACCATCATTCATTGTATAATGTCGAAATAACCACTGGGAGCGATGTCCATGTAGCCATGCGATGTAGCCATTTGTAAGCAACAAAGGACTTCCAGGCAATACCTTCTTTTCAGTGCTTTGCCATAGTGTGCATACCATGTATGTTTTCTTCTCACAGCAAATGCTAGCTGGAGAGCTATTTGATGACTTTGGGAACAGAAATCAGAACAAGATACCGAAATCCAGTCTCACGCCTACAGATTACTGCAAATAAAAGCAGAATTTTTAGATATTACCTCTGAAGTTAATTTGGGCATCAGGTCTAAAACGTTGCAATGGACCACCAATGAAACATGCAGGCTGCATTGCTGCAAATTTCAAAGTTTCCAAAACAATGAGAAGAAATAATATGCTATTTCAGGGCAAGGATACACAATCTTTATTTTGTGAGAAACACTGGGTGTAACTCAAAGTAACTGGAAGTAAGCAGGTGAATCCAGGGCTGCAAGCAAGCCACATGTTAAAGCAGAGATGTCCAGTTATAAATTATAACCGTTTTTCCTCCCCTGCAGCAGGACTTCATTTGGTTGCAGGGCGTTTTAATTTAATATCGCAGGCAGACTGTTCATCTCTGTGCAGCGTAACCTCGGGACATGAAGGGCCTGTTAATGTGTTTATTAAAGGCAGTGGGGAGACTCAGTCGCTAGCTATCAAAGCTACATGTAAACCTGAATAAGAACCTAAATTAGAGTCGTGTGTGTGTGTGTGTGTGTGTGTGTGTGTGTGTGTGTGTGTGTGTGTGGTGGGGCTGTGCGTGTTGATATGGGACTATGGGAGTTAGAAATGAGCTCAGTGTGCATCTCGCTCGCTGAGCCCGATATGCACAGTTACAGTAATAGTGAAGGGGCCAGAGAGAGGCAGCAGAGGAGCTGAAGCGACTGACAGAGCTGAAAGAAATTCCCTCGGAGCTTAGCTCTGTGATTCAACAAAATTGCAAATTTTTAAGCTTTGTTAGGACGTTGTGCTGCTCTTTGATAAAACAAACCGGACATCTAATACTACAATGGAAATTAAACATTTTTTTCAGTCTTTTTGAAAATTATGACAAAAATTAAGACTGGTAAACTGCTGAATAAAGAAATGGGAAAAGCTGGTTAGCTTTCTAGTCTTACAGTTACTGTGAAATCATATTTATTTCAACTTGACTTTAGAAGATATTGGCCTTAATCCATTAGCTTCATGGCTTATAGCTAAGATAAAGCTTCAGAATAGAAATATCTCCTGTTCTTAAGTCATAGCCGTGTTATATTTAATGTACTTTAGAATGAACTAACACACCTGTTCTAGTTTGTCATTGTGATTTGATGATCTACCTATTCAGTTTGTTTGTCCTGCAAACAAAATGATGAACATTGTCCCCCTAAAACACAGACATGACTTTGCTCTTATTGCAGAAAATCACAAGGGGGCAGGTAGCGATCACAAAGTCATTTTGTTCCAGTGTGTCACAAATGATGTGAAGCTTTTGTGATTACCGCCTGCAGCCTTCTGGTAACCTGCTGTTTGCAGATAGATTGGAAGTTTCAGGAAAAGAAGCAGAAAAACATTTATGTCAGAAGAAGAGACCAAAATGCATTTAAGCAGGCAATTAGGACGTTTTCTCTCTAATAAGTTACATGAAATGGCATTATCTGTCTTTTCATGGTTTTTGGTACTAGAATATAGGTAGTGTCATGTTGTTGCCAACTGTCTATGTACATGTAAGCTAAAGAGAAATTATGGATTTAATTTTCCGCAGATGTACGCCTAAAGACTTAAAGAATCTTTAGACCTTAAAGAACCTTGCTGCATAAATATGTAAATTTATGCAGCAAGGAAAGATTTCCTTGAAAATCCTTCCCCACCTTATTGCATTAATGATCTCGAATTTTGACCTTATTAACATAATTGCTGGTGCTTATAAGATCACAGCTGATTAAGGTACAGCATTGAGAGGTCTAAATCCGCTTTTAGTGAATACATGAAATTACATTTTCCTCAGCAAGTTGCCAGAAATGGCATGCACCCTCTGTCCTTCTAGTGCAGAATCAGGTTCAACGGCTGTATATTAACCATCTCTATACTCTCACTGACCTTGTGTTGTGTTTCAGGCTGGAATGATTCGTACAGACTCAGACGAGTACTTTATCGAGCCGCTTGAGAGAGGAGCTCAGGAGCTGGAGGACCAGGGCCGGGTCCATGTGGTGTATCGCAGATCGGCTCTGTTGCAGGCACCCCCGGAAATCCCAAAGGACTACCAGGCACAAGGTAGGATGCAAAAATACAAAATATATTGCTGCTGGGACACATACAGGGTGAAAAAAATCCTCAAAATTATAAATCAGCATACACAACCACATATTTGCCAATAGCCATTTTATCCCTTTTAGACTGAGGCATGCCTACCTACTACTGCATCTACTACTGATATGGCTTTTTTCCTACTACACAGTCAAGTGTTGACTTGTGTTGGTAATGCGACAACTCATTTTTGTGCTATGGCACCTGCTGTGCTGTTTTGAACCAACATCATCTCCACTGTTGCCTTTCTCACAGTTCATATGTAATATGGCAATAAGTGAGGTATTTTACCTGCTTTTTGTAAAGTGTCTCGAGATAACACTTGTTATGAGTTGACGCTATACAAATAAAAATTGATTGATTGATTGATTGATTGATTGATTGATAACAAGCTGCTGCTACAGTCACATCCTTATTACACAAGTGGCTGTGATGTTATATTTATACAATGATTTGCATCACAGATTGTCCACAACAAAAGTGATGCAACACAGGTTTAGCTAAAGAATTGGAAAACATTTCCGGTATCATACGGTGAGTGAAGATGTTCTATTTTCTGTTTCCCCTCTGAACAAAATGAAAGCAATATAACAATGATGGCGCTTTAAAGCAAGAAACACAAAGTCCCTTTAAATTTCTATTCGACTGGTTTGAAAGAGATGTTGGCAGCACTTAGAGTATACTACCAACATAGAGACAACATAACTGCTACAGATTTTACAAAGGAGAGGCATCTGTGTTTCCAGATGTAGCCAGATGTTGGCAGATGAGTGCCAGATGAGTGTTGCTAAGTCAAAGGTAATACTGGAACAAAGCAAATTTAAAATGCCCTTTTAAAGTCAGAAAATTAGGAAGATAAGTTGCTTGTAAATAAAATCACTAATATATTTGTTTTGTTTTTTTGAATGTGGGTTGAAACAATCGTTCATAATCTTTGCTCACATCACTTCTCAGATTTGAGAGAATAGAGTCAGGACAAGCTACTGTACTGGTCTCTTTAAAGCAGCAGTGCTGTGGAAAAAAACAAGGACATAAATGCCAGAAATTATTTCCTAAAATCTACTCTGAATTATCTCTGCTTTGAAACTACACCACGACTTTATTACTTAGACTCACACTAGCAAGGTTGTACCGTACCGTACGTAAGCATGATTGCACCCATTCCCCCGCTGGCCTGCACGGCACATTTTTTTTCAATCAGATACAGCCATGAGTAAATGTAAAAAAATAAAAGACTCGCGGTCAAACCCGCGTCCGCACATCGGGGAACAACAGGGAGAACATGACAGGTACTTTGTGGCATATTTTGAGTCCTGTTAGTCAGATACAGCCAGAACAATCCATATATCTCCATAATAAAGGCAGTCAACGTTGTGCTCGTGCATGAACTGTACCGTGTAGAAGCAAACCTTTCCGAAAGCTTGCCATGGCCAAGGAAGTGTACCGTGCTTGAGGTAGGGAGCGATCACACTGGTCAAACGAACTGGACTTTAGGGGTGAAGTGTGCTTAGACACGATATGGATTGCCAGTGTGATCCCGCCCTTATTCAAGGCAAGGCCAGATAAACTTTCTTGCGCAACACTTTAGAGAGTTAAAAACAGAGCATTAAGAACATTAACAGCATTAGAAGCAATTTGACATTAACAAACCTGCAGCTCTAATTTTTTTGGCTTAAGACCATTTTTGTGCTTTATATACCTTGAGAAGTATTTTAAAATCTATTCTTTGACTGTCTTCTCTCAAACATGTAGGCTACATTTTTGCTTGACATTCTGAAAAAAAATCTCAACTCAAAAGTTTGACTTATAGGCAGAGCCTTCCACCACATCTATTGGTGTTTATAAGGTTATATAACTAACTCTGGCCATCTTCATTACCCACTTGATGAAAACTAATCCTGATTTTATTTGTCACCTCAGACAGAGGTGTATTTAAAAGCTCCAAAAAAGGATGTGCGCCTTTTGCCTTCTGGCAAATGAATGCTTTCACCGCTGCTTCTGCTGTGACTATTATTATAATTAATGCAAAGATCTGCCACTGCCTGCTCTAAATAACCAGTTTCTGCTCCATATGTCACTGCATCCACTGTGAAGGCGATTTGTGCCCGGGAAGGAGTTCTTCCTGTGACTCACTTTGTTTTTAAGAACAACAAAGGCTGGAGCTCTTAGGAGTCATGACATTTCATTTTTTAACATAATGCCATAAGGGGCACAAAACAATCCAAAATGTTTATACAGTACGATTCAGATTATTGCTTTTCTTTCTAACGAAACACATTTTAACGACACAAACCTTCCACAGAGAGTCACATTCAGTCTGTATGTATACTTTGCTGTGATTTAAAGAGAGAATAAACCCTGGTTGTGAGTCAGACTCTATTTTGTTACACATTATGTGCACATGCCTGCTGGTATTTTTAACTGGACTTGTCACAGGATCTTCCAAAAGACTCACTGAGTGTTGCATTTCCTTTCGACACTTCCACATGGAATCTGTTGTGTATTTGCCCTGATTGCTGTTGAGGAAAGCAATTTCCTCCGACTGGATGTGATGGCAGACTCAAACTTAAAGAACAACAAACGCAAAAAAAAAGGAGGCAAAAGTGCTTAAGCAATCAGTTGCATAATTTATGAATTCAAAACTTCATTTGAGTTTCTATTTCTTGGCACACAAGCGGTGAAAATTGCTATGTAAATAATCATCTGCCTCTCAGATCCAAGAGATTTTGGGGATGATACAGTACAGGCAGAGGTTGCAATCACATGTTAAATATTTAAGAAAAGAAGGGGCATTATGTATTCAAGGAAGTGCAAAAAAAAAGAGCAGCATGAGTAACTTAAAGCAAAGTGTTCAACCTTAAAAACATTGAATATAAAAATATAAAAAGTAGAAAACACTTGAAATGTACAATTAAACAGATCATGAAAGGTCATTCAATAAATTATTATTACTCAACATAAATGTTATATGCTCACTAAATGTCATTCAAAATGATATTAGTGTATGAAAACCATTTTATTATCAACATGTATTTTTAAAAAATGATTTCATGAATCATATTAATGTCTCCTTACTCTTGCCATCTAACTCTTTCAAGCCAGATTTGACCATTTCAGACATTTGTTCATATTTCAGCCAACTGGTCCCATTATGCCCAATTAGCCAATAACTGTTCCTGTTTGCATGATGTCACCCTGAATAGATGGGCAATGTATTGGAAAACTCTAGTTTTATGAGCATGGTCTTTTTCTTGGATGTCTTCTTTTTCTTAATAGATTCATTTTCAATGAATTACAACAGAAATATGAGATAATAATATAGAAGTGTAGGACACACCACACCTAAAATGGAGTGGATTAGTGCTATTTTTGAAATACAATTCTTGTATTTATGTAACTAACCATCTCCCTCTCTTCTGCTTTCAAGCTCAACAAGGGCTTTTATGTTTACCAGATTAGACATATTTGTTAGCAGATGTATTCAATTAACAATTGTCCTAATTAGCTTAGAACTTTCTGTTTGCAATGTACCCACTGACGTTGTACTACATTGATTCAGAAGAAAGCATGAATGAAACATGTGTTTCATTTTGAATAGCTTAAGTCCATAACTTTGTATATTTCACATAATGTACTCAAGTTTTCTTTTCAATCTATAGCTCTATTCAGACTGCCCATTCAAGGCATGATATTTTAGGGATTGGCAGAGCCAGCGGGGGAGAGCAGCGCTGTGTGTGTGTGTGTGTGTGTGTGTGTGTGTGTGTGTGTGTGTGTGTGTGTGTGTGTGTGTGTGTGTGTGTGTGTGTGTGTGTGTGTGTGTGTGTGTGTGTGTGTGTGTGTGTGTGTGTGTGTGTGTGTGTGTGTGTGTGTGTGTGTGTGTGTGTGTGTGTGTGTGTGTGTGTGTGTGTGTGTGTGTGTGTGTGTGGCTCCTGCTGTTTCTCTACACGTCATGCTTCTGCAACACCATAAACCAATGTGAATTCACATTCTAAGACACATTTAGCCTTAACGAAATCAGTGTGAATGTATAAAGACGTCATGACGTCTAAGCTTTAGTTGCAGGGCTGTTATGGAAAAGCCATGAAAATGTCTCATGATTAATTTGACTTTTGGACACAATTTCTGATTTAGATATTTCACATCTTGCTCATTAAAAATATGGTCTTGTAGCTCTGTTAGCAGTTTATGATCATCTCACTGAGAATTATACTCCTTCATGTGTTTACTCCGTGTAGAGAAAACTGGGCTCCCTGCTGTCACCTTATTTTCTCCTTAGAGCCCCACAAAGCAGACAGGTGTGGTAAAATATACAGTTGTGAATACCAATGCTCATGGAATGATACAATTTGCAAAATGGTTTGCATTTATAAAGCTTTATTCTAGTTACTGACCATCATGGTGCATAAAACTCAATGCAGTTTATACACTTAAGGTTCTAAGACGACAGACACATCCCAATTCCACCCCTTTGGCTTGCCTAGTTTTGAGTGCCATTTGCTAGGGGTGGGAATCACCAGAGGCCTCATAATACGATGTTATCATGATACTTGAGTCTTGATACGATATTATTGCGATTTTAAACGTTTTGCAATGTGCGTTAGAATTGCGATACAATATATTCTGATATATGCCAATTTAACTCTTTAAACTGCATATTATATCCACAAAATTAAAGTAAATTAAGAACTGTTTGTCAAATATGAAAATCTTCTCAGTCTATTCATCTCACGTCAATCTTTTTATTTCTACACAAGGGGAGTAAAACCCACAGCCTGACCAACACTGTGATCAAAGTAAAAACCCTGTTAAAGGCTGTGTGCACCTCACAATCTGAACTGTTAGTATTTCAGTCTAGTTGAACTTAACTGAACGCAAGCAGGTATGGACGACTGTACAATTGCAGTCATTTTTAACAATGCAACTGAATGAATTGTGCAACCCCTTCAGCTTTCAATTAAAAATCTAAA